GCCCCAAGACGGCCCCAAGAGGGCCTCAAGACGGCCCAAGAGGCATCAAAGACGCTCAAGATGGCCTCCAAGACGATCCTGAAGCGCCCCAAGAGGACCCCAAGACGGTCCAGAGATGTTCCCAAAACGGCTCCCGAGGGCGTGCGACGGGACAGGAACGCCGCAAACGGCCAAAGAAGCCCCCAAGAAGCCCCCAAAGGCCCCCAAGTGGCCTCCAAGAGGCCCCCAGGAAGCTCCCAGGAACCTCAAGAATGACCCAAGAAGCTCCCAAGAGGTCTCCTCATCCTTCTCCTCATCCTCGCTTTCCCTCCCCCTCCTCATCCTCCTCTTCCTCCCCCACGTGTTCCCCGAAGGGCTTCCACAAAGGCTGGGGAAACGCATGGTCCAATTGCGTGGCCAAACTTTGCCCAGACGTTTGGCCACATAGGCGCATCCTGAAAGGCAAGGGGTGGCGGTGATTCGCCGTAGGCGTCTTCGATCTGCCGCCCCGTGGTCTTGCCACAGGGTGCCCAGCGAGCAAAATTTCAGGTGGTTGTTGGTTCATTTCCAGACTCCCTCTGGGGCTTCGGCACAGCGCGCCGGCCACCCGGACAGCTTGCCCAGTTGCATCTCCCGTCGGCTCTTCCGCTCAAGATGGCCTCCAAGACGGCCAAGATGGCCTTCCAGACGGCCAAGATGGTCCCACGAGAGCCCCAAGATAGGCTCAAGATGGCTTCCGAGATGGTCCGAAGATGCCTCCAAGACCGCTCATATGGTCCAAGGGAGCCCAGGAAGCGTCCCAGAGGCCTCCAAGACGGCCCAAAGGCCTCCAAGGTCCTCCAGGGAAGCTCGAAGAGGCAAAAATCATTGAGTTTCCCGAATTTCCTGCTGGATTTGGGCATATGTTTCTTCTCGGCCATCCGACGGACCAAGATGGCCCAAGAGCCCCCCAAGATCGCCGAAGAGGCCTCCAAGATGGCCCCATAACAGCCCAAGAGGGCCCCAAGACGGCCCCAAGAGGGCCTCAAGACGGCCCAAGAGGCATCAAAGACGCTCAAGATGGCCTCCAAGACGATCCTGAAGCGCCCCAAGAGGACCCCAAGACGGTCCAGAAATGTTCCCAAATCGGCTCCCGAGGGCGTCCGACGGGCCAGGAACGCCGCAAACGGCCAAAGAAGCCCCCAAGAAGCCCCCAAAGGCCCCCAAGTGGCCTCCAAGAGGCCCCCAGGAAGCTCCCAGGAACCTCAAGAATGACCCAAGAAGCTCCCAAGAGGTCTCCTCATCCTTCTCCTCATCCTCGCTTTCCCTCCCCCTCCTCATCCTCCTCTTCCTCCCCCACGTGTTCCCCGAAGGGCTTCCACAAAGGCTGGGGGAACGCATGGTCCAATTGCGTGGCCAAACTTTGCCCAGACGTTTGGCCACATAGGCGCACCCTGAAAGGCAAGGGGTGGCGGTGATTCGCCGTAGGCGTCTTCGATCTGCCGCCCCGTGGTCTTGCCACAGGGTGCCCAGCGAGCAAAATTTCAGGTGGTTGTTGGTTCATTTCCAGACTCCCCCTGGGGCTTCGGCACAGCGCGCCGGCCACCCGGACAGCTTGCCCAGTTGCATCTCCCGTCGGCTTTTCCGCTCAAGATGGCCTCCAAGACGGCCAAGATGGCCTTCCAGACGGCCAAGATGGCCCCATAACAGCTCAAAAGGGCCCCAAGACGGCCCCAAGAGGGCCTCAAGACGGCCCAAGAGGCATCAAAGACGCTCAAGATGGCCTCCAAGACGATCCTGAAGCGCCCCAACCCAAGAGGACCCCAAGACGGTCCAGAGAGGTTCCCAAAACGGCTCCCGAGGGCGTCCGACGGGCCAGGAACGCCGCAAACGGCCAAAGAAGCCCCCAAAGGCCCCCAAGTGGCCTCCAAGAGGCCCCCAGGAAGCTCCCAGGAGCCTCAAGAATGACCCAAGAAGCTCCCAAGAGGTCTCCTCATCCTTCTCCTCATCCTCGTTTTCCCTCCCTCATCCTCCTCTTCCTCCCCCACGTGTTCCCCGAAGGGCTTCCACAAAGGCTGGGGGAACGCATGGTCCAATTGCGTGGCCAAAATTTGCCCAGACGTTTGGCCACATCGGCGCACCCTGAAAGGCAGAGAGTGGCGGTGATTCGCCGTAGGCGTCTTCGATCCGTCGCCCCCTGTGGTCTTGCCACAGGGGTGCACGGCGTGGTAGATTCCTTTCCTTTCTAAAGAACGCTCCCTGGGGTTTCGGCCCAGCTGGCTGGCCACCTGGAAAGCTCCTCCAAAACGCATCTTCCGTTGGCTGGTTCCCTTCAAATGTTTTCAAGATGGCCTCCAAAACGGCCAAGATGGCCTCCCAAGATGGCCCCAAGAGAGCCCAAGATGGCCGAAAAATGTAACCAAGACGGCCCAATATACCCTCACGACAGCCTAAGATAGCCTCAAGAAGACCCAAGACGGCCCAAGAAGCTCCCAAGAAGACCTACAGGAAGGTCCGAAGTGGCCAAAACCCTTGATTGTCCTCAGGTGTTTGCCAGATTCTGGCTTTTGCACATGTTCGGTTTCAGACTGCCCAAGACGGCCCCAGAGGCCACCAAGACGGCCCCGAGAGTGCCTAAGAGGCCTCCAAAATAGCCCCCAGAGGGCCCAATTTGCCCCCGCCCAAAGATGGCCCAGGAGACCTCCAAGACGGCTCAAGAAGCCTCCAAGACGGCCCTGGAGTGCCCCAAGTTGGCCCAAAGTCGTGCCAGCGAAGCACCCAAGACGGCTTCCGACGGCGTCAGACGGGCCAGGAAGGCCCTCAGATGGCCAAAGGGCCTCTCAAGAAGCCTTCGAAGGCCCCCAAGAGACCCAAGGAGGCCTTCAAGAGACCCCCAGGAGGCGCCCAGGAGGCTCCGAGAGTGCCCCAAAAGGCTCAAGAGAGTCCTCATTCTCCTCCTCGTCCTCCTCTTCTTCCTCCTCCTTGTTCCTCCCTCGTCCTCTTCCTCTTCCACCCCCAAGTGTTCCCCGAAGGGTTCCCACAATGGCTTGGGGGACACACACAGTCCGATAGCGTGGCCCCGTTCTGGCCACGATGTTCGGCCGCATAGGCGCTTCCAGAAGACAGGGGGCGGCGGTGATTCGCCGTAGGCGTCTTCGATCCGCCGCCCCCTGTGGCTTGTCACAGGGGTGCACGGCGTGCTAGATGTTAGGTAGTTGCTGGTCCTTCATAAAAGTTCCCCGTGAGCGTTCGGCTCAACCCGCCGACCACCCGGAAAGCCGCCGACAAAGCCAACTCCATTGGCCCAATCGCCTCCAAGACGGCCAGGGCCTCCAAGACGGCCTTCAAGATTCCTCTGAGACGGCCAAGGTGGCCCCAAGATTGCCCAAGATGGCCCCAAGATGCCTCCAAGACTGGCCGAGGGGCACCCAAGACGACCTAAAATGGCCCAAAGATTGCCCAAGACGGCCCAAGAGGCCCCCAAGAGGGTTCCAAGACGGCCCAAGAGACTTCCAAGAGGACCTATAAGGAGGGAACCTGAGACGGAAGGAATCATCAGAATCGTCAGAATCAGCATCATCATCATCATCATCATCACCATCATCATCATCATCATCATCATCATCATCATCATCATCATCATCATCATCATCATCAGCATGATCATCATCATCATCATCATCATCATCATCATCATCATCATCATCATCATCATCATCAGCAGCAGCAGCAGCAGCAGCACCAGCAGCAGCATCATCATCAGCAGCAGCAGCGGCATCAGCATCAGCATCAGCATCATCATCAGCAGCATCGTCATCGTCACCGTCATCATCACCAACAAAAACGTCATAATCAGCATCATCAGCAGCATAATCATCATCAGACGCACCATCATCATCAGCAGCAGCAGCATCAGCATCGGCATCATCAGCAGCAGCAGCATCAGCATCAGCATCAGCATCAGCATCAGCATCAGCATCAGCATCAGCATCAGCATCAGCATCAGCAGCATCATCATCAGCACCAGTGTAATCGGCATCTGCATCGTCATCAGCATCGTCATCATCACCGCAACCACTAGTAGCATCACGATCATCATCATCATCACCACCACCATCATCATCGCCATCATCGTCGGAATCATCAACAGCATCATCATAGTCAGCATCACAATCGCCACCATCATCAACAGCAGCAACATCATCATCATTTTCATCATCAGCATCATCAGCAGCATCATCAGCGTCATCACCATCAGCATCACATCGTCACAGCATCATATGCATCATCAGCATCATCATCCACAGCACCATTGTCATACTGATCTTCATCAGTATCATCATCCTTATCAGCATCACCATTATCATCATCAACATCATCACCAGCATCATCATCACCAATATCATCGTCAGCAGCAGCAACAGCATCAGCAGCATCATCCGCATCATCAGCAACCTCGTCATCAACCGCATCATCAGTATCACCATCAGCAGCATCATCATCAGCATCAGAAGCATCACCATCATCATCATCATCGTCATCATCATCATCATCATCATCATCAGCATCACCATCATCAATCTCATCGTCAGCAGCAACAGCATCAGCAGCATCATCCGCATCCTCAGCAACCTCATCATCAACCACATCATCAGTATCACCATTAGCAGCATCATCATCAGCATCAGAAGCTTCACCATCATCATCATCATCATCCTCATCATCATCATCATCATCATCACCATCATCAATATCATCGTCATCAACAGCAGCATCAACATCATCATTATCATCATCGTCATCATCAGCACAATGATCATGATCATTATCATCATCATCATCATCATCATCATCATCATCATCATCATCATCATCATCATCAGTATGATTCACCCTATTTCCTCGTTCCCCTCCTTCTCCCCTCTGTTCTTTCGTCCTCCACCACATCCTCTTGGAAAGAGTGAACATGTTCGGCCGTTCGCGGCGAGGGGGCGGGCGCACTGCTAAGGGACGGCGACGGGGCTAGCCCCCAGTCGGCGGTCCTTGGGATAGGCGCTCCAACGATTGCTGTCCACGAAGAAATACTCCACGGTGAAGTCATCGTACAACACCCTCCCGGCCATAGGAGGGACCAGAAGAGAAGAGTGGGGAGGAGCAGGAGAAGGAGGAGCAGCAGCAGCAGCAACGAAGTGGCATTACGCTTCTTATGGCTGTTTCGGATCCTCCAGAGGCCTCCGCAGGCCTCCGAAGACCTCAGGAGATCTCTGGGATCGACCACCGCGTGAGGACCACGCTAGTGGCGCGCGCGGCACCGAGCCCGACCTCCTTCAAGAGCTCCACCTTCAAGACGCGCAGGCTCCTGCGGACACTCAGCAGTTCTGGGGAGGCCGTCGGCGCCTTCGGACGCCACTCGGAGGAGGCATGCGGTGAGTGCAGCGGCGCAGGACTGCCCAGGGCTCGTCCTGCTCCAGCCATTGAGCGCAAATAGCGAGGATCGTCTTGGCCGTCCTGGTGCGAGCTCCGATGCCGATGCGGGCGAGGTCGGGGCCTTCAAGCCTGGCGAAGTCGAGGAAGGGATCCCTGTTCGCGCCGTCGTGACCCCAGCTTCTTGCGAGTTACCCTTGGGTCGTCCAGGATGGTGGGGAACTTGGTAGGGACACCAGTCATGCTCAAGGGCCTGCTGCCCCTGCACGAGGGGGGAGAAAATTTACAAGATCGTCTTCCAACTCAATCTCGGAGGGCATTGTCCCACCAGCCCTGGGGCCTTGGGGAGCTTGTGCCGAAGAGGCCATCAGCGTGAACGTAAGGGCACTGACCAAAGACATAGTGTTTGCGTGCTCGATAAATGGACGAATTGAGCCTCGACAGCTTAAGCCGGGGACCAAGGAAACTGACGACACGTGCAAGTTTGGCAGCACCCGAGAAAGGCGAGGTCTCATTTGGGGCTGCGTAGGCGCCACTCCGCTGGATCCCCAGGTGCGCAGGGAAGTGGCGATCACTTCCCGCCTGGCAGTAGCCAGGAAGGGCAAGGTCTCTATAGATTGGGTCTGCGTAGCGATGCCTTGTGCTAGACCTCCAAGGGGCGAATGAGACTAGCAACAGACGCGCGCCTGGCAGCACCCAGCAAAAGCGAGACATCTGGGTATACGTAGCGACATTTGTTTTGAAACGCATGCAACTTCACACACACACACACACACACACACACACACTCTCTCTTTCTCTATCTGGTTTGCTTGCTCTAGAGACTCTCCGTAGTGGTCACAGCAGGCTGCAAGGAGTCCTATGAAGCACCTGCAAGACTACCTCGACAAAAATCTGCGTCAAGGTGTGAATGTGCGCAGTGCCAAAACTGTGCCCACCAGCGAAGCTGATATTCGGCCGCTGCCTGAGCCTTTCAGGGATCACGGGGGAGGGGAAGGAGAAGCGGACGGAGGAGGAGGAGGAGGAGGAGGAGGAGGAGGAGGAAGAAACAACCACCGGCAACTCGCGCGCCCCTGACTGGCCCCTGGTGTGCGGCAGCGGACCGCGGGGTGCGGGGCAGGGCAGCGGGACGAGGGCGCCACCCGCCAAACGCGCGACACAGCCGCGGGCAGCCAGCCTCCAGCAAGCCCCCCTTGGGGGGGGCAGCGATAAGGAGGCACGACGGCGCGCGGGCAAGCGGCCTCCAGGCCCTTGAGGAAAGGAGGCGGGCGAAAAAGGAGGGAGGAAAAGAGGAACAAGGGCAGGATGAACCAAGATCGAATCGAAAACTCGAACCGACAACCGAAATACGTCGAATCTGCAGGCAGATCGGCAGGCATCGAAGACGAGACCCAGCGGCCCTACCCGAAGCCTGCACAACGACACCCAAACAGAAGCTGGGATCCAGAATCGAATCGGATCGAAATTGAAATCCTCGAAATCGAATCGATTCGGATCGAAAGAGTCGAAATGGCTCCTGCGAGGGGGCAGCAGGCTAGCGGGCAAGCAGCATTGGGGGGGGGAACGGGGCGAACGGCCGCGCGGAGTACAAGCCACGAAAAAAGGCCCCAGCGTGAGGCGCACGTGCGCAAGGGCGGCCGAGGAGCGGGGGGAGGCGCGTGGGGGGCGGCGGGGGCGCGGGGCGGTCTCGTTTGCTTCGAGGACTGCCACCACAAGGGTTGCAGCAGTGGCGGTGCTCCCGGGCCGCCCGATCGCATGAGGACTGTGCGCGGGCCCTGGGCGTACCAGCCACGCGGATCACAACTTGATGATCGCTTCTCGGGTGCAACGTGGGGGACCGGAACGGCTGGCGTCAGGATGGGCGCGGGCGGCCCCACACCCGTCGCTCCGGCTGGCTGACCAGGACGACCGGACGGGCGCGGCCGTCCGCCGACACGCAGGCGGCGCTGGTCAAACGTCGGCACCGCCGCGCCGCGTCCGAACGCATCTCCCGCTGGGAAAAGCGGGTCGCGAGTGCGCGGGGGATGGATGTCGTCTGGGGGTGTGGCTGGACGTACGCTACACAGACTAAGGGCGGGTAACGGATGCCCCGACGCCCAGAGCATCGCTGTAAGAGGCCTCGTAGACGGCCTAGCGCGTGGACACGATAGCCACACAGTCTGGGCCAGCATTGCGCCCGTCGGGCGAAGCGATCCTGATGTCAAGGGGAGTGAACCCGTGCTCCAAGGAATACACGGGATGAGGCGCTCGCCTCGAGCTTGGTAGCTGGGCAGCATGGCCTGGTAGCCTTCTAGATATGTCTGGACAGCGCTCGGTGGGCCTTCGGAATCAAGTCCGCCGCAAGGATACACCTCGTTGTACACCCCCTCGGGGCGACGAAAACAGTGGACGGATACACGTTTGGCAGCACCCGGAAAATACGAGATTCATGTGGGTCTGCATGAAACAGCAGCGCACAGCGCGGCTTCGGCCCGTTCCCACGCGCTCGCCACTGCAGGGCAGGCTTCCACCCTGCAGCACACCGGTACCCTGTCGGTCGTTATTAACCGGCACCTGCCTGGCATGTCCTGGCTGCCGCGCCTCAGACGGTGGCTCCCGCACCCTGGGTCTGTGGCACCTTGGACAACCACGGCCCTGCTCCCGCATCCTGTTCGGTGGCACAACGTTGCACTTCGGCTCAGCGATGCTCCCTACCTTCCCTGGTCGTCGCCTCTTGGGTACAAGGCGAGTCCTCCTCTGCCGCCACTTGAGGCTGGTGTACGACGCGCCGTTGACGGCACCACCACCACAGCATTTTGCTTCTTCCGGTACTTCGCCGCCGGGTTCCTGCCCAAGGCGTCCCTTTGCAAGCACATCGTCCTCGGCACCGCCTGATTCCGGGGCTTTGCCCCCTCCTGGCCTTGATGTGAGGCCCCTCCTTCTGCCCCCCTCTCGTTAATTCAAGCTGTGCGCGGCCCGCTTAGCTTCGACCAGAAGAGGTGCGCTCTCGACCCGCGGATCAAAAAGGGTCTGCATGAAGCGCCACTATGCTGGACTCGCCAACTGCGCAGGGAAATGACTACATTTTCGCGCTTGGGCATATGCAAAGATAAGACGAACAGACCAAAGAGAAGAGAGGAGGGCAGGAGGAGAGGAGACAGGAAATGCGGAAGAGAATGGAGGGTGCGAGAAAAAGCAGGACAAAGCGCCTCTCTCCTTCGCTTTCCCTCCATGCTTCAGGATCGAGGGCCCCCTCACTTTGCTCAAGCATCGGAAAAGGTGTCCGCTTGGAGCTCGTGGATGTGCAACAGATCCCTCCCTCCATCTCTCTCCCCTTCTCCTCCCTTCCTCCCTCCCGCCTTCTCTCCCCGCCCCCTCCATTCCTTCATCGCCCATTCCTTCCCCTCCCTCTTCTTCCCGGTTTTCCCCCTCTCCCTCTGCTCATCCTTCTGCACATGACACTCATCATATTTAGCAGCGGTCCTCGAGCTGTAGTACTGCGCTGGCAGTATCCAACGGCCACTCCAGGGAGGAGGGCGCTCCTGATCTCCCGCCAGACGGTTGCAACATGACTGTTGCATGTTGCTCGTCCAACTCCTGCTTCCTCATCCTCCTCATTATCCCACGTATCGTTTCTTCCGAGGTTTCCTCATTGTCTTACTCCCCTTCATCATCTTCTTCATCATCGTCATCACCACCACCGCCACCACCATCATCATCATCATCATCATCATCATCATCATCATCATCATCAGCAGCATCAGCATCATCATCAACATCATCATCATTACACCATCACTACCATCATGATCATCAACACCAGCAACAGCAGCTCCGTCATCATGGATATCATCATCACAATCCCCCCCAAACCTCATCAGCAGAAACAGTATCATCATCAGAATCGTCCTCATCAGAAGTCGTCGCCAACATCAGCATCAGCAACAACAACCGCATGATCAACAGCCTTACCACAATCGACATGTTCATCATCATCATCATCATCATCATCATCATCATCAGCATCATCAGCATCAGCATCATCATCATCATCATCCTCATCATCATCAGCATCATCAGAATCATCACCAGCATCATCATTAACATCATCATAATAATCAACGTCATCATGATCATCAGCAGCATCATCATCAGAATCATCATGATCGTCATCATCAGCATCATCAGCGTCATCATGATCGTCATCATCAGCATCACCATCACCATCACCACCATCACCACCAAAATCACCATCACTACCATCGTCATTACCAGCGTCATCATCATCACCATCATCATCAGCAGAAGCAGCACCAGCATCAGCATCATCATCAGCATCATCATCATCAGCATCATCATCGAAAAAATGAGCCCCCATCATCATCATCATCAACATCATCATCATCATCAACATCATCATCATCATCATCATCACCATCACCATCACCATCACCATCATCATCATCATCATCATCATCATCATCATCATCATCATCATCATCATCATCATCATCATCATCATCATCATCATCATCATCATCATCATCTCTCACCGCCATCCTCGTCATCGCAGTTAGCTGGCAGTGAGCGGCGACTGCGGCTAAACGGAGACATCTGGTAAGGCTTCGGGTTGCGCACAGACAACCCCCACACACACAGGAAGCCCCCAGCTGGCCTCAACAGGCCCCCCGACTGGTCTCAGCTGTAATCAACGGGCCTGCCGAGTAGTCCAGGACGGTCTCAACACCCCGACCCTGGGGCGCAGAGCGCCCCAGGGGGGGCCCTGGAAGCGGCGGTGGGGTGTTGAGACAGCCCCAGACTACTCGGGGGACCTGTTGAGGCCTGTTGAAGCCTGGGGGTCGGCTGTGCGCAACCCGATGCCTTACCAGGGAAAAGGCGCCACCGACGGCTGCTGCTTCTGCCGCCACCACTGCTAGCTCACTCTGCGCCCTCCTCCTGGTAGGAAATTATGGGCCCGCGCCCCCGTGGGAGAGCGCGTGGGTCACCTCACGACTCGCGGCAGCTGTGCGGAATCGAACCGGGTCATCGATGGAAAAGTTGAAGGATGTCGAACCTCGCGTTTCAACCCGACCAGGGAGTCCTTTCCCCCACATAATGTCCCTCAGTACTCCAGACTTCAATCGGAACACGCTCGGTGTTTAAACAATAGTGTTGCCGGTGCAGCGCTGGCCTCATTCTAGGATCGACGTTTTGCTCCCGTCATTCAGAATGGCGCTCTCGCCTACGAAAAGAATGTTTTGGGGACCCCCATGGCCTCCAGCCTGGGTCAGTTCGCCGCCCTCCCGGCCCGATCAGAGAGCATGATTGAGCTTAGGCTAAGAAGCACAGCAAATGGGTATGCCGAATATGCTCGACTCTTGCCAAAGGAATCAAAAGGCCAGCACCGACAGTGAGCACGTGCAGAGGCCACAACGAAACGCTCACCCAGCTGGTGCAAATAGATCCTCGGAATCACATTCTGCACGTTTCCTAATACGCACTTGGGGTGGTGTTCATTTGCAGATTGTGCGGTGCTTATTCTGAGTCAGGGAACCTCCGGAGCCTGAAGTCCACATGCAACTTGAAGTTCACTTCGCCCGGCGCACCTGGCGCAAGACACTCTTGGCAGACGTTCTCCCAGCGCCATCACCCCAACTCTACGAGGGGCCCTGGCCAGTGCCTGAAGAATACTTGCCTTTATCGGCACTGCTTCAGCCGTAGCTCACATCCCCCGTCTCGCCCACCGTATGCGCGGTTGTTAGGCGCATGGACAGTGCGACCGCCGCTGTCTTGAGCCTAGCGTTGTTGACGCTGGATGCCTCGCTGATGCCACGTGTCTGTTGCAACACAGCTCGCCGTTAGTAAAATGCCATGTCATTGTCATCGTCACTCGCTGCTGCCCCCATCGCAGTCTTCTACCTGCGATAGTGTGCAGCATCGGGGCTGAATCTGCCACACCCATTGTTGGCAATTCTGTGTCATCTATAAATGAAGAAAAGTCAACGCTCGGGGGGTCACCTATTGCCAGATCAAGCCAATGGAACCAACATAAAAGGGCCACTGGAATCAACACGAGAAAAAAACAACTGGATCAGAAGGCCCAAAAAAACTCTTTACTCCCAAACTCCGAATTTCGGCGCCACCCCGATGTTACGAGGGTGGGCCAGCACAGCCAAACATTGTCCTGCTAAGAAATCCGAAACGCGGGGCAGAAATGCGGGTGTTCGTTCCGCTTCGCCACGTTGCTCCGCTGCTGGCATGCTGGGGGGGGTGGGAGGTGAGGAAAAGTTCTCGTCTCACATGCAACCGCTTCCGGCTGGTGCAGAGACCGTTGCGGGCCGCCGTCAGTGGCCTACCGGGGCCTCCGTCTTCCCCCGTCGGCCCCCAAGTTTTCCCAAGGGCGGAAGCCGGCTCTACTGTGGGGCAGGTCCCACCTGTCACAAGGCCAGCGGCGACATCGGCGGCAGGGTAGCGAGCTGCCCAGTGCACCCTTACAGTGGTCACCCGTCCTGACAAGTGCACCCTTACAGTGGTCACCCTTACAGTGCACCCTTTCGTCCCCCCTGGCACCCCTCGGGCGGCGTCCCAGCCTACGGCAGGGCAGGTTCCCCTGCCCTGCTGTGGAATGGGCTCCCCCCTTCACCAGCAGGAAGGCGATCCTCCCTGCGGCTGAGCAGGCCCACATGTCCTCCTGAGGGATCGAGCCGCCCCCCCCTTGCGGCCCCCTGAGAGCGCTCCTGGGGCCCTTCGACGTAGTTGGGTAGCCAGCGTATAACGCGGTTCTCGGGGCTGACAGCTCATCCTCTGCACACCTGTACGGTGCATGGCGATATGGGCCAACGAGGTGCCCCTGTCAAACCTAAGATGCCGTACGGAGGTGGCCTGCGGTTACGTTGACCACATATAACATCCACCTATAACCTGTTTGCACCTTGCCGCACGTGAACGCACGCGCTTTCAGCGCTGCGTAGTCTGAGTGTCCCCCACTCAATACCTCGGCGTCCTCACTCCGCCGCCTCCTCCAAGCAGGCAGGAGTTGATGAAGACAAAGCCTCTCATCACACAACCGCCTCTGGCGTGTGCAGATACGCTCCAACTTCTCAGGTGCACAAACTGAGAAAGGATCAATGTATATGACAATGAAGACGGCTGACTAGTGGTATGCTGGCACTCATACCACGTGCCTACAACGGTCCTTGTACACCGTTCCAAGGGTGGGAGAGCCCTTGTGCCCCATCCGACTTTACAGGGCTACGGGTACCCTCAAGGGCATCAGCGCTGCACTACGTTCCTCTTCAATCTCATCCTCCTCCTCCTCCTCCTCCGCCTCCTCCTCCGCCTCCTCCTCTTCGTCCTCCGCATCATCATCGTCATCATCATCAGCAGCATCATCACCATCTCACCATCATTGTCATCAGCATCATCACCATCATCATCATCAGCAGCAGCATCATCATCATCGTCGCCATCATCATCAGCATCCTCATAATCAGCATCATCACCAGCATCATTACCATCATCCTCGTCATCAGCAGTATCATCAGCATCAGCACCATCATCATAATCGTCGTCATCATGAGCATCGGTATCATCGTCGTCGTCATCATCTTCATCCTCATCGTGCTCATCAACATCATCGCCCTCCTCATCTCATCCCGATTATCACCATCAGCAGCAACATCAGCATCAGCATTATCATCATCATTGTCATCATAATCCTCATCATCATCGTCGGTGCCTTCGTCATCACAATCATCATCAGCATCGTCACCATCATCATCGACATCGTCATTGTCAGCATCATCATCACCGTCGTCATCAAAATTATCATCATCATCGTCGTCATCATCATTATCATCGTCGTCGTCATCGTTATCGTCACCACTACGGTCACCACCCTTGCCATCCTCTTCATCATCATCAGCATAATCATCCTCATCAGCAGCATCATCATGATCATCTTCGCCGTTGCCATTCCCCCCGCACCTCCTTCTCATTGGCCTGCTCCTTCTCATCCTGCCCGTGTTCCTCGGATTAGTCCGCCTCTCCGACCTCCATCCCTCCCCCTGTTCCGTCCCCCTGCGTATCATCATCCCTCATCATCATGACCAGAAATTATAAAAATCGTCGTCGTCATCATCATCAGCAGCATCATCATCGTCATCACCATCATCAGCATCGTCAACATTCGTATCATCAACATAATCAGCAGCAGCAGCATCTCCATCATCAACAGAATCGTTATCATCATCTCCAGCAGCAGCATCATCGTCATCAGCATGATCATCGTCCTCATCCTGATCAACATCACCATCACCATCACCATTACCGTCACCATCACCATCACCACAACCATCACCACCGTCATCATCATCGTCATCGTCATCAACAGCAGCATCAATAACATCGTACTCATCAAGATTGATGATAGTATTCCTCCTGGTCCCGAACCAGGCTTAATGCAGGCATGAGCGGCTTATCGCTCAAACCGAAATCAAGACACAGAGACGAGTTGACACGGAGGCGGCCTGCATCATGAACTGAGCGAGTGCAGCGGGGTCAGGCCGAAGCGCACAGAAAATTCAGATTAATGCAAGCAAGACGAAAAAACTCACTCACCACTCACCACAATGAAAGCGAGGTGAAAGCAAGAGGTCACACCATCTGGATTCGCATTACTTGGGACATCGACGGTTTGTCATAACTTGCAGTGTTTGTGGCCGTGACTTTGCTGTGCTACGGAGCTGATTAAGACAGGCATATCATAGTTCCCAGGTCGTTCATCATCAATGTGCTGATCGACGAGATTCCAAATCAAAAGCACTCGAAAGTAAGAACATCACTGGTCAACGACCTCGAGCGCAGGCTGGAAAACTCTCAAACCGCCCAGGCTGGCATTCAGCCTGGCGCCCCTCCTGCTGCTCCTCCCCCTCCCCCTCCTCCACATATTCCTGCTCCAGCTCCTCCCAGTTCCCTCCTCCCTCCTACTCCTTCTACTCCTCCTCCTGCTCCTCCTCCTCCTCCTTCTCCTCCTGCTGCTTCTAATCCTCCTCCGCCTGCCCGTCCTCCTCGTCCCCTTCCTCATCGTATTCCTGCTCATCCCGTTCTCCTTCCCCTGTTCACACCTCCTTTCTCCCTCCTCCTTCCTGCCTCCCTCATCGTCGCTCTTCTCCCGGGCCCATCCCAAGTGTAGGCAATCTGCTGATCCCAGCCGGCGGTGAAAGTGGACCCGCCGTAGTCCACGCTCCCCTGGCAAGGCCGCTAGCGCCCAGCCACAGGCAAAGGGAGGTCGGGCGGTAGGGAGGAATTCTTGCCAGCATGTCCCTATTCCTGCTTGACACTGACTGTTGACATGGAACCCCCTGCTCCCCCTCCTCTCTCATCCTCCTCCTCCTACTCCTCCTCCTCCTCCTCCTCCTCCTCCTCCTCCTCCTCCTCCTCCTCCTCCTCCTCCTCCTTCTCCTCCTCCTCATCCTCCTACTCGAGAGGGTGAAGGCTGTGTGGCTCCCGCTTGGATGGACAATCTGCAAAGACTCAGATTCAGTCGATGAGACATTCCGCATGCAGCGGGGCACTTCTGAGAGGTAACTCTTTGAGGATGAACGTGCGTACAAGCTTCATCACAGTAGAGATTGCATAAGGCCTGGGCTCGAAGCAAGGGCAAGTTTGATCTGCGCGACGTCACTGCCTGGCAACACCCCCCGAGCGAAAATGCCGACGTCTGGGAAGATAAACACCGAGACGCCGCATACTACCAGAGACTGTTCTTACACGCGTATGCTGTTCGAAAGAGGTTCGCTTCCACCTTTCACACTGCATTGTGCTCTTCCTTCTGCCACCCACCAGGACGCAAAGCCACTGCACGTCTGCCATGGGCCCAACGTACATGTTCTCATAGATGTCGGCCCACTGGGGCGTGTCGGCCTGGGCAAACCATCTTTGATAGTCGAGGGCGGAGACCATGAACCCACAGCAAGAACGCATAAGGATCAAGACCCCCTGGCCATGGCCTTCCTATACAACATAGCATGCTGCAAGCTATCCAACTGTCCCAAGTTCGAAAGCAGTACATGTTGCACTATTTGCCAGCTGGGACGCCGCTGGCCTCAAAGAACCGCTGGGTGAACAAACGCTGCGGCAAACGTTCTCATGTCCAAAACAGCCCGGATGAGTTCTCGACCCAGAACACTGAGAAGGACTACTCCACCTCAGTCCGCTTCCACAGGTCGAAATGACTCACCGCCTGGTGTGGGAAGACGTGAAATATGTATCAGCACCAGCACCGATCCGGACCAGATCCATCCTGGGCCCAAGACCAGTGTATTCGCCTCCGTGCCTGCACGGACTGGGCGTGTTAGGATGCTCGTCCGTTGCCTGGGAGGGTTATTGAATATTTTCCACGGTCGCGGGGTCCAAAGACCACCACCACCACCCGAAATTGCTCCCCGGCTGTCTTTTCGGCCACGAGACGGCCAAGATGGCGTCCCAGTCGACTTCCTGGACAGCTAAGATGACACCAAGTTGGCCCAAGAGGCTCCCAAGACGGCCTCAAGACCGCTCAAGAGGCCCCCAAGACGGCCCAAGAAGGCTCCAAGAGGCCCTCCAGGAGAGCCCGAGGAAGCAAAAACCAGTGCTTGCCGTTGGTTTTGGAAGGATTTGGGGGTCCTCGCCTATTTCGGATTCCGACCGCCCAAGACGGCCCGAGGGGCTTCCAAGATAGCTTTGAGACAATCCATGAGGCCCCAAAGAGATCCCCGAGTCGGCCCAAGGGACCCCAAGACGGCCCCAAGAGTTGCCAAGAGAGTCCCAAGGCTGCCCTAAAGCGCGCCAAGAGGGCACCAAGACGCCCCAGAGAGGCCACCAAGACGGCCTCCGAATGCGTCAGACGAGCCAATCGCCTCCCCAAAATCCAAGAGGCCCCAAGAGGCCCCCCCAGGAGGCTCCTGAGAAGCTCCGAAGAGGAGGCATCGACCCGTTTCATGCTCCAGAATCACCCTGGAACGGTTCCGGGGTGAAAATTGGAACCTGAAACGGGTGATTTTCCATCCGGGCGCTCTCAGGGGCCTTGTGGGTGCCTCTCGAGGATGGGGTTTGTACCCACGCCCCCAAAATGATCATATGAAATCTCTGATTGGGGAGCTTGTTTTTCGCGGCTGGGCCTTCCCGCTCAGCGTCGAGAGGTCCCGGATGGAATTTCACCCGGGAACCGTCCCAGGGTGAAATCCATCTGGGACCCTCTCCCAACGCAAACGGCGCTGTCGGGGCACCCGAGCCCCCAAAATGGCAATTTTCCATATGAGGTCTCCGATTGGGGAGCCTGTTTTCGCGGCTGGGCCCTCCCGCTCAGCGTCGGGAGGTCCCAGATGGATTTTCATCCCGGAACCGTTCCAGGGTGATGGGAGGGGAGCGCACCCGAGCCCCCAAAATGGCCATCTTCCAAATGACATCTCTCATTGGGGAGCCTGTTTCCCGCGGCTGGGCCCTCCCGCTCAGCGTCGGGAGGTCCCAAATTGATTTTCACCCCGGAACCGTTCCAGCGTGAAAAAACATCTGGAACCCTCTCCCAACGCAAAAAAAATGCGTTGTCGGGGATGGGGGAGGTGTACCCGAGCCCCCAAAATGACCATCTTCCAAATGAAATATCTTATTGGGGAGCTTGTTTTTCGCGGCTGGGCCCTCCCGCTCAGCGTAGAAAGGTCCCAAATTGATTTTGACCCTGGAACCGTTCCAGGGTGAAAATCCATACATCTGGGACCCTCTCCCAGCGCAAAGCAGCGCTGTCGAGGATGGGGGGGAGTGTACCCGAGCCACCCCAAATGGAAATTTCCATATGAGATCTCTGATTGGGGAGCTTGTTTTTCGCGGCTGGGCCCTCCCGCTCAGCGTCGGGAGGTCCCAGATGGATTTTCTCCCCGGAACCGCTCCAGGGTGAAAATCCATCTGGAACCCTCTCCCAGCGCAAAACGGCGCTCTCGGGGATGGGGGGGGGGTGCCCGAACCCCCAAAATGACAATTTTCCAAATGAGATCTCTGATTGGGGAGCTTGTTTCTCGCTGCTGGGCCCTCCCGCTCAGCGTCGGGAGACCCCAAATGGATGTTCTCCCTGGAACCGTTCCAGAGTGAAAATCCATCTGGAACCCTCTCCAACGCAAAACGGCGCTCTCGGGGACGGGTGGGGGGGCCGAACGCCCAAAATGGCAATTTTCCAAATGAAATCTTTGTTTGGAGAGCTTGTTTCTGGCGGCTGGGCCCTCCCCAGAACCGTTCCAGGGTGAAAATCCATCTGGAACCCCCTCCCAACGCAAAAGGGCGCTGTCGGGGATGGGGTGGGGTGTACCCGAGCCCCCCAAAACGGCAATGTTCCAAATGACATCTCTTTTTGGAAAGCTTGTTTCTCGCGGCTGGGCCCTCCCGCTCAGCGTCGGGAGGTCCCCAGTGGATTTTCACCCCGGAACCGTTCCAGGGTGAAGGTCCATCTGGGACCCTCTCCCAGCGCAAAGCGGCGCTGTCGGGGATGGGGAGGGAGTGTACCCGAGCCACCCAAAATGGTGATTTTCCAAATGAACCCTGGAAGACACATCTAAACATTTATTTTGGTTGCTCAGTTCCCCAGCGGCAGCTGCATTCGGAAGGACCGCATGGTATCTAGAATTCCTTTCTGAATCACATGTGTTTTACAGCGCTCTCGTACAGAAAATTAGATACGAGTAGACATGTATCAAAAATAAGTACGTTGAGATACGATGTCCTTCCTTTAGATACGGGAGGTAAGTTTTTCCAACTGTTAGATACGGGGTCATGTATAGATACGAATAGATATGTTTAGATATGTTTAGATACGGTTCAATATGGCGCTCATCGCTGGAAACATGTCTACCAAAAAGAGATACGAATCGAAACGGCGCCATGTCCCCTGCGCACGCCGAAGATCGACCACTATCGCTCCTCACTCCTCTTGGATCCTCCTCATCCGCCTTCCTCGGTGCTCACGTTCTCTGCTCTTCTTTCGCCACATCCTAAATGGGGTTCCTGTTCCCCACATCCTGAGTAGGGTTCTTGTTGTCCTAGAACGCCCTCTCCGTTTCCTTCTTCTCTTTTTCATTATCCTTCTCCCGCCTCCCTACTATGCCATACCAGTGCGTACCATACCGATACCACACCTACCTACCATACCATACCTACCACACCACACCTACCATACCACACCTACCATACCATACCATACCAAACCTACTAGACCATACCAGACTTACCACATCATGCCATACTCTGCCATACCTACCATACCATACCTACCATACCATACCAAACCATACCTACCAGATCAGACCACGCCTACCACACCAAAGCTACCATACTATACCTACTACTCCTGGGAGGCCACGCCAGAGCGAGGGCCGCATCGGGATAGCAGGTTAGTTACAATGATTCGTCCTGTTGGCGCGTATTGGCGAATTTCTTGAAGGCTTGCTGGTTGTCTCGAGGGTCGTCTCAGGGCAGAAGGCTCGAACTTGTTGTTCGAGTTCCCCCTGTTGGGCCCCTCTTGGACCTTTCTTCAATGCCTCTTGGGCCGTCTTGGGAGCCTGTTGGGCATTCCCAGGGCCCTCTTGGGTTCGTCATGGGGCCCTCGTAGGGGACCCCTTGGGCTATCAGTGGGCGATCTTGGAGGCATCTTCGGCCGCTTTGGAGAATTCATCGAAAGTTGCTTTGCTGGGCTTTTTCGGGGGTCATTTAGGAGCGTTGTTGAAGCCTTCTGGAAGCTTCTGAGGCGATCAAAGAAACGCAGTGGGACATTTTGGAGCGTTCTTGGGCCGTCTCGGACCCCCTGGGGCTCTCACGCAAGCACAATACGCTCCAGGGAGGAACGGGAAACAGGCGGACCCCTCCCCCCTCCATGGTACATTTCTGTCCCTTCAGCGCCCCATCATCGCTAAGCTCCCACAGCCCCTGCGTCATGCTTATGTGCCTCCTTTTCCTGGCTGGTCCCCCAACCACACGCCATCGCTTCTCGTTAAGTGAGATACGCGTGCACTCAACGCAGGGGGGAGGAGGAGGAGAGGAAGGAGACGAGAGAGGGGACAGGGACGAGGCGAGGATATTTTACTCATGGCAGCGTGGCGACGCGCACCTCCACCCGGGCGTGGGCCCTGACGGCCCACGCCCGGCGCGTGCGCGTGGGCCCTGACGGCCCACGCGCTCGCGCTCTGGCACGCCTGCGGCCGCACGGCCCAGGCGTCAGGGAGCAAAACGGAGTGGGTGGGCACCCGCGCGTCGGCCTGAAACGAACGCTACGGACCCAAAACGGTTACCTGAGCCCACACCCCCTCCCACTTAACCTGCAGTCTACAAACCTATCAGACTATACAAGTTAAGTGAGATACGCGTGCACTCAACGGAGGGGGGAGGAGGAGGAGAGGAAGGAGACGAGAGAGGGGACAGGGACGAGGCGAGGATATTTTACTCATGGCAGCGTGGCGACGCGCACCTCCACCCGGGCGTGGGCCCTGACGGCCCACGCCCGGCGAGTGCGCGTGGGCCCTGACGGCCCACGCGCTCGCGCTCTGGCACGCCTGCGGCCGCACGGCCACGAGAAAGAAAAAGCGCAGCAGCGCGCGCGGAACGCCCAGCCAGAGGCACGAGGGCGGCCCTCCTCCTCTCCTCCCTCCTCCCTCTCCCTCCTCCCCCTCCCTCCTCCTCCTCCTCCCTCCTCCTCCTCCCTCCTCTCCTCCCTCCTCCCTCCTCCCTCCTCCCTCCCTCCCTCCTCCCTCCTCCTCCTCCCTCCTCCCTCCTCCCTCCTCCTCCTCCCTCCCCCTCCTCCCTCCCCTCCTCCTCTCCTCTCCTCCTCCTCCTCCGCCTCCTCCTCCTCCTCCTCCTCCTCCTCCTCCTCTCCTCCTCCTCCTCCTCCTCCTCATCCTCCTCCTCCTCCTCCTCCTCCTCCTCCGCCTCCTCCTCCTCCTCCTCCTCCTCCTCCTCCGCCTCCTCCTCCTCCCTCTTTATCTTTCTCTCTCTCTCTCTCTCTCTCTCTCTCTCTCTCGGCGGCTATAATAAGCCCTACTTGCAACAAAACTACTTGCTATACAGCGGCTGCTTGCTACACAGCGACCTCGCTCACTCCCCACTTGCTACACAGCCTTGCGTGCCCTTGCAACCTCCGCCTCGGACGCCTGGCGTCGGTCCGGGGCGTGGTCAAGAGTTTCCGCCCATGCCCCTTCCCATCGTGCCGGCTGCCCTCCGGTCACTCTCGTGGCCGTCCGGCCTCCCCTGAATCCTTCTCCCCTGTGTGCTCGCTGGTGATACTGCGCGCGGCGCTGTTGCAACCACTCTCTGTCCTGACACCGCAGAAGTAGCGAAGCTGGATAATCAGGGTGACGGCGAAGGTGTCGTAGCCAATTCATGGCCCGACTGATGGCGATAAACCCACCGTCTGCCGATGTGGGGTCGAGCTGCTCGGGCCCGCCGGGCCCGCCGAGCTTCTTCAAATGGTAGGCGTGGGATCTTGCTGATCGCGGCGACGTGTCGGAGCTGAACCGTATCCAAGGCGTTCACCATCTGTCTCCCAAGGACCCACGTCCCGGCGTAGAAATTGAAGATGCTCTCCGCGTGTCTCGTCCACATCTGCGCCCGGGATGCGAAAGGTAAGGCGTTGTTCTGAAGAAGACGCCGGTGCTTGAACCAAGACCGTTGGATCTTCTCCAGCGCTTTGCTTCGATCCGCATGGCTGCTCGCATTGCCGCTCACAGTGCGCCCAATGACGGCGAGTTCATCCTTGACCTGCCAAGCGCAGCCCCCTGCCTCCAACTGCTCCTCCTCCTCCTCCTCCTCCTCCTCCTCCTCCTCCTCCTCCTCCTCCTCCTCTCCTCC